GCAAAAATCCACTTCACTAGCAGGACATCGTGAACAGACTAACCCCTCCCCCTAACCTTCCCCTTCCCTCCCCTCCAGGCTGAGTAGCGGCGAATAACCTAGGGTAACGGACGCTGTTCCATGGTGGTGATTGGCACAATGGTTTATCTATCTACTGTGTCATTCCCTTGAAGAGGTGGTCCCTGGTTCGCACTCAGCTTACTCCGCAACAGTGTGCACGCTCTTAGTGGCACACCCGCGCCCCGGCGGCAAGATACAGGGGAATGGCGTGTGTGAAGAGTCAACGACACACACTTATGTTTCGCAGTTGTTATCTAACGAATGAGCTCAATTCCAGGCCAGTCAACCAGCCAACCCAAAAATCAGTCCAACTCCAAATTACCTTACCAGCAAATGTTCCGCAGGTATGATGGTTTCACCGCAATTTGTCTCCGCTCGACAACCTCGATCACAAGCCACGGTTTTCTTTCTCATTACGGTAGTAGTAAAACGATGAAGTGCATTTCCTGAAGAATAAGGTTGTGGAAAATGGGGAAATGTAGTAGTGTATGTTAAAACTATTTTTCGTTGTTAAAAAATGTAAAAATACCGGCGAAGTCGTATCGGAGCTTCAGTGCGTGCCACACGAAGCACGTCCTTCCCAGTAGCCGGCGGCCTCGGGCAAACAGCGAACTCTAAACGGAGAAACATATATTGAGATTAAGTTTAAATTTATTACGTCCATTTGAGGCAAACTTTAGGAACAATGAGATGACATATGAGTGTTCAAAAGACAGTGAATAAAGTAGCGATTATCAGCTTGGGATACGCCATACATTGAAGTTCTCTCCAGGATCGCGTGGTTTAAAGGACGAATTCACGATGAAAAAGCAACCCATTTCAAATTAACCTAGGGATGGTGAGTGGTACACGAAAGAAGGAAGAACCATGAGAAACGGCCCAGAACCCGAGAAATGGACCCCTTCCTTGCCCGTTGATTTGAGCATTGATGCGACTCTCATCGCTGTGCCCTCTTCAACACTACGCTCTCTCAGCTATCTAATCACTCGCCACGTATAGACTGCGGCGAGTGATCAGATGATCGGTGGGCGGAGATCGCCGGACCCGCCAGCTTTGAGGCATGATAGGTCGCCGAGGTCAAATTTTTCCATGCGAATTGCGCGTCAGTTCGCACCCTCAGGAGGTCCGTGGGTCCCTCAACTAGGTCAGTTTCCCTTTCTTCGACCTTCATTCTAATCGTGAATTCCTCCTTTAACGCTTCTGTCTCAATAGCGCCCGTCGTGCGACATCTGGTAAAGATAGTATCAGGCAATTTACAGTTGAGCGAGGTTCAGAACGATGTTCTGTTTGGATTCGGATCTTTCGGTCGTAACTTTTGCCTCAACCTAGACATGAAAACCCCACTTTCACTCGTGTCTTCGCAGTCATAGTTCGACCCGTGGATAGTGATTATATGGGAAGTTACAGGTAATTCCAAGTACGCTCGCGCTCTGAAGCGATTCCTGGTGATCTTAGTGTTCAGTGGGCCAAACTAGTGTTAGCTGGAGTTGTGGGTTAAGAGTCGTTATACAGTAGCTTTCCGCTTTTAGAATAACTCGATCACTCATGTTGTGATTGTTAATCAAGGACTAAAACCCCATAAAGAAATAACTGAAACGGTTCGTTACTTCAAGAATTCGTCTCGATTTACAATGTCAATACCCTCCACCGACCCCTCGATTAGCAATCTGATCTTTCTTGACGTCTTGCATTTTCTGACTTTGCCAGTCCCACGAAAATCAACAGAAGGAGGTAAGCAAACCAGCCCTTTTGGCGTTTCGGCTGGGACCGTATGCTGAATGTTGGGGAGGGGATGGGGTCCCCAACGGTCGACGGTTTACTTCAACTCGGTTGGTACGATAGGAGAGTACTGACGCAAGTGGTGCAGCTGGTCCAGCAGCTCCGCCAGAAGGGCTGGTTTGCTCACCCCAGGACTAAGCCTTGGAGAGGGGACGGACCCGTCCTCTCTTTAAGGCTTAGTTCTGAGGTAAGCACCAAATTGTGGCGGTTCTAAGGACCGAGTTGAAGTGGTCCGTCCACCGTCGGGGACTCCATCCCCTCCCCAACATTCAGCATACGGTCCCAGCCGAAGCGCCAAAAGGGCTGGTTTGCTTACGTCGACAGAATACGCCTCTTTCATTAAGGCAACGACAGTAGATCGAGATCGTATAAAATCTGCAGCTCAAGAACAGGACTCTGGAATTTCCCAGCCGTATGCAGAACTTCATCAGTGACTTTAAATGTGCAAATACTTTGAAAGACGGCTAACCTTTGAAGAAACTATTCCACGACCCAGATACGATACTGTGTTCGATCAAAAAGCAAAGAGAACAGAAGCGAAACTTCAGAAAAAACTAAACAAATGCAAAAAATGAGGATTCGCACCCTTGCGTATGGGATGGTTAGCCCTCTGCCATCTGAGCTAGACTTTTTTT